GATGGCTGATTTTTCTCTACCACCGCCGCCGCCCTTCCTCGCTCTTCCAGGTGAACCTCCTATTCCGTGGCCCCGCTGGCTGCAATCTTTTGAGACATATCTCATCGCAGCCGGCCTCACAGAGGTGAGTGCGGCACGAAAAAAAGCACTTCTCCAACACTGTCTAGGGGCGGATGGACAGCAAGTGCTCGGAACAATCAGCGACAGTGGTGAAAACACTTATGAACAGTCTGTGACGGCCCTGAATGAACATTTCGCTGCTCCACAGAGCGTTTTGCTGCGGCGGTTCGTATTCCAATGGCGCCATCAACTCTCTGGTGAGTCCGTGCATCAGTATGTGGCCAATCTGAGAGGGCTAGCGAATTCTTGTAAATTCGGAGGGCTGCGCGACGAAATGATCCGCGATCAGCTGATTGAACACACCAATGATAACAAAATTAGAGAAACCCTGCTGTTACAACCAGATGACTTGACGCTATCTAGGGCAATTGTGGTAGCATTTCAAGTGGAAAGCGCTGCTGAATGTGTGGCCACTCTCACAAATCAAAATAAGTCAACACAGAGCCAATTGACATTTATGGAAACAACTTCACCAGCCCAGCAGCCAACCGACCGGGGTGCAGAAGCGGCTGCAGACGCCCCTGACTCCGTAATGCAACTCACGCGGCAACAGCGTAGACGACCACATCAACAACAGCCCTGTACTAACTGTGGATCTCGTTCTCATTTCACCAGAGCCCAGAACTGTCTAGCCCAGGGCCAGACATGCCATAACTGTGGAAAACAAAATCATTTTGCTAGTGTCTGCCGTTCAGCCCCAAATAAACCACAGATGCGCACCAGTCAGTCATCATCCATCAATGTAACTTCAGGTCTTGTGCCATTCAGATCATGCACTGTCACCCTGAATGATGTGAGTGTTCCACTGCTTCTGGATACGGGGGCCAGTGTATCTCTGCTCAATGCAAGCACTTACAGTCAATTCTTCAGCGTTTTTCCCCTAGCCACGCCCTCTATGGCCCTGTGCGGTTACGGCGATTCCAAAATTGAGCTGCTGGATTCACTTAAATTGACTGTGCATTACGGTGCAAAGACATTGCCCTCATTCATCTTCCAAGTGGCCCGCAAAGGAGCAAATTTGATGGGACTGGACTTGTTCACCGCGCTGGGGTTCGTCCTAGTGGACATGGAGGGGGCTGCTATCCTGGCTGTGACCACAATATGGCAGCAACAGCGGCCAATGCTCTTTGATGGGATGGGCTGCCTCACCTCATTTATGCACCAGCCTCTCATTGACCATACTGTCAGCCCTGTCATTCAACCTCTACGCCATATTCCCCTGGCCCTGCGTGAAGGGCTGTCAACGGAACTACAGTGCCTGCTGCAAGGAGGCATCATTGAGCAGGTGGATGCGTCGCCCTAGGTCTCAAACCTGGTGGTGGCCACTAAAAAATCTGGTGCTCTGCGCATCTGCGTGGACTTGAGGCAAGTCAATAAGGCAGTTATTCCAGATAAGTACCCGCTACCAACGACGGAGTAACTCACGGTTCAATTCTATGGCTCCACAGTTGTTTCTAAGCTGGACCTAAAAGAAGGCTATCTGCAGGTGCCCCTTCATGCTGACAGCAGAAATCTGACGACTTTTGTGACACATGAGGGAGTATTTCGTTATACTAGGATGCCTTTCGGCCTTAGCTCCGCCCCTTCCTGTTTCCAAAAGGTTATGATCTCTGTGCTAGCGGGGATACCAGGTGTTGTCATCTACCTTGACGACATTGTCGCGCATGGGCCCACAACGCACACTCATGATGAGCGCCTCAACATGGTTTTTGATGCACTCAGCAAGCACAGGCTAACTTTAAATGGTGAAAAATTTATTTTTGCTGTACCTGTCATCGAGTTTGTGGGGTTCAAGTTGTCAGCACAGGGCATTTCCCCACTCCAGTCTAATGTGGATGCCATTCAGTCCATCCCCGAACCGACTTCACCTGCCCAGGTGGCTTCCTTTCTAGGAATGATGGGCTACTTACTTAAAGTTTCTACCTCAGTATTCAGCCACTACTGCCCCGCTGCGGCAATTACTCCGGAAGGATGAGCCCTGGGTGTGGACGCAGGCATGCATGGAGGCTGTGCGCACTCTCAAGGCCCAACTCACTTCACCTCCCATACTTTCACACTTCAGCACCTCCTGTAAAACCATGGTCACCTGCGATGCATCCACCACAGCCATCGGAGCCATATTGTCACAGGTACAGAAGAGCGTAGAAAGGCCCATAGCCTTTGCCTCTAGGGCCCTTAACCCAACAGAGCAACGATATTCAGTGGGTGAACGGGAAGCGCTGGCATGTCTATGGGCATGCGAAAGATGGCACCTGTACTTATATGGCCGCCATTTCACTCTGAGGACGGATCATCATGCCTTAGTGGCACTGCTGGCGAAGTCAGGAACAGGGCACAGACCACTGAGACTACACCGCTGGTATGACCGGCTCAGTCAGTATAACTACAGCCTTCAGCTCACACCGGGCCATGAAAACGTGGTGGCTGACCTTTTGTCTTGCCCTGTCCCAGCTCCGGAAATAACAGAAGACTTTAGCCCTGAAACAGACATCATCCAGCTGCTACACACTGCAGTGCGTGGTATCACTACAGGAGCTTAAAACTGCATCAGAGCAGGACTCTATCTTCTCTCTGCTCCACACTTATGTCCGAGAAGGCTGCCCCCTACATGTCTCAGAAGAGCTAAAGCCATTTGCCCGCATCAAAGATGAACCATCTTGCTGGAATGACACATGTGTGGCACGTGGGCTTTGCACTGTGGTCCCGGGGCCCCTTCGCGCGCACGTGTGCTCGAAATGGCGCACGAGGGGCACCTGGGAATAGTGAAGCTCAAACAGCGTTGCCGGGATAGAGTCTGGTGGCCGGGCATAGACAGAGAAATCGAACTTTTAGTTAAAGACTGTCCAGCCTGTCTTGTGGGTGGAAAAACAGGCAACCCACCTCCCCCGCCCCTCTGACCCCTGGCCTGGCCTACTCGTCCTTGGCAGCACCTTCAGATGGATATCTGTGGTGAATTTCACGGGGTTCCCCACAACCAGCCACACCTGGTGGTAGCATATGATTTGTACTCCAATTGGCCAGAACTAATCACAACCGGCTCAGTCACCACTCAAGTCATCATGAACATTCTGGACTCGCTGTTCTCCCGTTGGGGCCTTCCACAAACTATTACAACGGATAACGGCCCTCAGTTCGTCTCTGTGGACTTCTTCTCTTACCTGGAGAACAAGGGTATCCAACACATCCGCACCACTCTTTACCACCCCCAGGCCAATGGGGGAGTGGAACGTTTCCACCAGTCTTTGAAAAATGGCCTTAGGGCACACCTGGCACAAGGGTGCTCTTTCAACCAAGCCATTCGTCTGACTTTGCTACACTACCGGGCCTCGCAGCATAGCACCACTGGGGTCTCCCCTGCCTTCCTAATGTTGGGCAGGGAACTCACTTTGCCGCTGGACAGACTCTGCCCCTCCAAATCCAAGGGACCCCCCCCGGGGTTAAAACTCACGTCACTCGCCAGCAGCGCTGGATGAAACGGAGATTTGACAGACTCAGACGTGCCAAAGAACCAGATATCCCAGTTCAGGTTTGGGTGAGAGTGCGCAGACCACACAGGAGGAATAAACTGGCCTCGTTCTGGTCTACCCCCTCGTTGGTTACTCGTCAGATAGGCAGGGCATCTTATCTCCTGGAGGATGGTTCTCGATGGCACTCTAGTCATCTTTGTAAAGTAGCTGCACCTACCCCAGTCTGCCCACAAAGCAGTGGAAATCTGCCACATACCTTCCTCCCACTGGAACAGGAAACTGCAACACCTCAAGCTGGCAGGCAAGACTTAGACCCATTTTTGCCTCCACCCCCTCTGTTCCTTAGAAAGACTGTTCTGTGATCACAATGCATGTCTGATTGAGCTATGCGCGGTTGGTTCTGCCTAGTTCTGTGTGTGTTAGAGCGTTACAGAGGAATAGTAAACAGGCCACGCATTTCTGGCCTGGATGTTTATTCTACACCACAGAAACCATTCCAAAAAAAGAAGGAAAATCATTTTTCTGATGTCAAATGAAACCGCTTCATTCAAATCACAGTGTAACTCTGTCCAGCAGTTTCTGAAATATACGACTGCGCTTCTCTCTTGTGGTGTAAACCAGACTAAAACAGTCTGAGCTCAGAAAAGCCCAAATTCTGCTTTACGCTCTTGCTTTCATGATGGAAAGATTTCAGAAACCACAAACATTACATGGACTGTACAAGCATGCTAAAATGACCTTCATTCACATAACCCAGCCCTTCCCATTATAAGACTGAGTGCTATCTATGAATAGAATATCTTCTTCTCAGAGCAAAGAGTTATGTGATCATGAAAACAGCAGACGCTATGAGTCAGGAATATGTACAGGACAAAAGACTGATCCACTGGACATTAAAAAACACCCCAAAGCGTAAATATGAACTTCTGCCTCTCACAAAGGCTCAAAGCTGGACTTACAGGTTCTGTAATGAGCCCTTTTTAGCAGATCCTTGTGGTAAAGGGTTCTTATTAGAAGCTGCCCTAATGCCAAGCTCCTTTATGAAACTCTTCTACATGGACTGTGAAGATTAAAAAAAAAAAAAAAAAAAAATAAAGAAATGCCTTCCCAGATATGAACACTTAACACTCAAAATGAAAAGAGAACATATGAACTCTTCCTCAAGCAGAGGAACACTTTAAATAAACAGAAGTACATTTACACCAAACTGCAACATGATGAGAGGAAACAGTGATCAGCGCTGTGACCCCGTGACCCCTGACCTCCAGAGACTGAATCACACTGACAGAGCACGCTGAACTCACTCATTTACAGTTACTTCAGTTATGGACGGGCATGAAGACTCTGAAGTGACAACGATTGGTCATAATTACACATGATGAGGCTTTTTAATGAATTACAGCTTCAAAAAAATGTGTCAAACATGGACTTCTTTATTGATTGTAATCATTACGGCATCGTTTTTGGCAGAACTTTGCTGTTCATGATAGGCCCTTCATAAATATGTGGACGTGACAAACAATCTTACCCCACTAACACCTAAACAATGTAGTAATCACATACAAAAACTGAACGAAATCTAGTCAAAGTCTACTTTAGCATGATATTGATGTGAGGGAAGAATGCAGAACGAGAGAGAGAGAGAGACAAAGAAACATTTAATGAACAAAGCAGAAACAGTAAGACAAGTTGTGTGTTAAAATAAGAGAATCATTACAGTAACAACAGGCATCAGGAGGGGAATGTGAAGGCAAGGTTAGCAACTTTTCTCCATTACAATCCAGCGCGAGCTCTTAAATACTCGTGGATGTTCTGACGTAACAACAGCTTTGGCTCAAACTGGAAACGCCGTCTAGTAACAGTGTGTCTGAGATCTACTGATCTGAAGCTCAATAAAACCGTTCATCACGAGCAAACGTCTCCTGTCACAGACTTTTACAACCGTTTACAGTGATTCGCTGTGGTTTTGAGAATCTAAATAAAAGTCCTGCGTCTTCACTTTCCTTTTTCATGAATGCAATAACAGTTTCTGAGGACATTTTGGTAACTGATGCTGAGAAGAGCTGACACATAAAGCCTTTATATCTGTAAAACACATACCCTACAGAAGGAACGCCCGTGTTTCTCCAGGATCAACACTATCTAGTTCAAAATAAAAAAAATCAACGGAACCTAAAGCTGCTGTGTGTGTGAATGTGTTCAGTGCATTTGATAAAGCCCAAGCCTTCATTCATCATTTCACACTCTTACCAAATCCATACTAGAATAACTTCACTAGACTTCTACATTCGGTCAGGTCACGTCTGTGCAGCAAGCAGGAGAAAAGCTTCTGTGTGCGGTCATTATGTTTTGATAATGTAATGAATCTCATGTAAGACAATCTCTGGAGATCAAGTCTCTGATGCAACAATAACTGCACTTTCTCATACAAAAATGTTTTAAAAAGTAGGACGTTTGTCCATTGAGAGATCGATCTTTTAGCATCGAGTTAACTGCAGTTGACACGTGATTTAAAGTGACCATCCAGAATGGCATAAGGACACATTATAACAGAAATGATTATTAATAAGCTGTCGCTCACTTTAAAACAGTCTATGTGCTTTTGTAACTCAATACAGTCACATGCGGAGCTCCATGACTGGTCTTGAAGATTTCAGAAACAAGACTTTTGGTGGAGCAATTCTGAAAATAATGAATTAGAAAACGAATAATCCAATGAAAACCAGTGAGGAGACTCTAGGCCATGGTTTCCTCTTCGGAGGCCTTCGTTTCTCGTTAATCCACCTTTTTTTCAGTCGGACTCTTTTGCTCGATCTTCTCTGCGTCTTCCTCCTCCTCTCCCTCTGCTCCGGCCGTCAGCCGCTGCTGCTCTTCCTCCTCGCCCTCCTCCTCTTCCTCGTCCGTGAAGCCATCTCTCTTCATCAGCTCAGTGTCGTCGTCAGACTCGGCCATGCAGATGCCGTAGCACATGAGGCTGATGACGCCTAGCGGCAGACCGAAGAGAAAGCAGCCGAGCAGCGGAGAGCTGCGGAACACTGACTGCAGACCAGAGACAGACCATCAGAGTAACGACACGCTAACCAGCTTCATCAGTCACACCATTCAATGACAACAGACATTCTTTCACAATCTTGTATTTTTTCTTGCCATATTGTTGATAATGAACAGATTGAGGAATACTAAGAAGGTGGAGATCTCACGTAAAGATGAATGAAGGGTTAATGTCCTGGGACACCTGAGCTGGGTGTTTAAGGGTTAACGGGAAGGAATAAACAGGTGTTGTTATATGTTTAGGGTGCATGAACTGGCACGACACTCTTTTGCTGTGGATCCACGTTCATCTCATTCACTGCCATCAGTCAGTGCTTTTCTTCACTGTGAAAGCAGTTTTCCAAATTCATGAGCACATAAGAGTCGCTCCAGAGTATAATGCATTTGCTATGGCTGTTATCTCTACATGAAACACTTTTAAGCAGCAGCTCATATTCTTCACATCTCTGAAGTGCCATTGTGTCAAGGTTTGGTGGGAAATAATGAAAGAACACTGAATGAACATCCACACCTTCAGCTGTCATTGTGTGTAAAGACCGACTGCTGTTTACTAAACATTACATATTCAATAATGATTGACTTGGGTTAGTTTTTCTGAACTCAGCTCACCATTACAGTGGATCTGGCATCATACACCACACGCTTGATCCTCTGGAGAATCCCGTCTCCTCCATACGCCTGTCGGGAAACACAGGGATGCTGCTGTGAGGAGAGCCGGATCAACACAAAGTGCACCTGAATCTCTGAGAGGACAGCAGCTCATGCAGAGTAGGTTTGTGCTGTCGCATCGCATGACCAAACGCCTTTACAAGCCCAGCTCCCGTGTGTGGCACTCACCGTCCAATCAGAAACATTCACAGAAGGTGCTTCATCTCATTCAGTTGTGAAAACAAGGTTATGTGTGTGTTTTCTATCTAAAGAGACGTGATCAGGAGTGTTTCAGCAGTGTGTGTGTGTGTGTGTGTGTGTGTGTGTGGAGTGTTTCAGCAGTGTGTGTGTGTGTAACTGGAGTGTTTCAGCAGTGTGTGTGTGTGTAACTGGAGTGTTTCAGCAGTGTGTGTGTGTGTAACTGGAGTGTTTCAGCAGTGTGTGTGTGTGTAACTGGAGTGTTTCAGCAGTGTGTGTGTGTGTGTGTAACTGGAGTGTTTCAGCAGTGTGTGTGTGTGTGTGTAACTGGAGTGTTTCAGCAGTGTGTGTGTGTGTGTGTAACTGGAGTGTTTCAGCAGTGTGTGTGTGTGTGTGTGTGTGTGT